AAAAACTGTTAAAGTTTATATGAAACGTATTTAATTATGACATAAATTATTCTTAAATAATTTTCTGGTTTTGAATTATGGGGAAAAGCACATTGTTTTTACTTTACTAAAGAGAGCTACACTGAGGTAATTTTACATTTAACTTTACAAATCTAATTTTACCGAAAATGCGAAATACTGTTCAAAACTAACAAAAATGTATGAAAGCTGTTTGTTTTTCTATATAAGTAAATGTCAACGAGAGCTAACATCAAATCTAAAAGAAAGATGTCAGATTATACTGAAAGAGAAAATCGACTTTAATGATGATAAAATACCACATGGAATTTTTTAAAAGTGCCTCTCTTGTTTTAGAAGGAAGGAAAGTGGAGAGGACATCACACTCCCTTCATAAGTTTGAGGCTATAAAATTTCGACCAGAAACTCGAGACTCTTACTGTGACTGCTTGATCTGTTCAATGGGACAACTGAGACACAATGGTCAAATGAAAATTGAATTCGCACAAAGTTCAGCAACTAAAACACCTTCTTTAACAGTAGAAAAAAGATGCTTAGATTGTTTTTCAATTATAGGATTTTATTATACAATTATATTATTTTCGCCAATTTTTGAACGGCGAACTGCGCAAAAGACACATTGAGCAATAATTTTGTTGCAGTTGCAACAAAGGATCTTTTAGCATCAGAAAGAATTGCAACTCTTGTTGTTTCAAATAAAGCTCTTTCTCCACATGGAACAGTTCGATTAAGTCAGCCTTATTGTGGAAGAATGCTTTCAGTAACACCAAGTATGAATTTATTTTTTCATAGTTCAAATTAATGACAGGTTAAATTTTTAATTTTTTGCAATTATTATAGGTTTGTCATTAGCTAGACAACTTTTCTCAATAAATTTATCAACAAGTGTATAAGACCTTGCTCAATTTCAAGCAAACACAGAGCTTTCAAACAATGGCATCAAGAGTTTTGCTTCTATTAATCAGTCAACCTCACAACAGGTTGTTGAAAAAAATTACCCCATAAAATTTGACAAATTCAGCAAGCAACTTGTACATCGTTTCACAAGTTCATCAATTCAAGATTATATTGGATGTATGAGGATAGTCATAACAAATTGGTTGGAATTGATGGAGGAGGTAGATTTCTGAAAGTTAGCCTAGGAATTATTGAATTAGATCATGAGCTTAGCGTTCCCCCTCTAAAACTCAACTCCACAAGAAAGGTTTTTAAGGATACTGCTGTAAAATAACAACTTATTGTTGCTGTCTCTAAGGAGCTTTAAGAAAATTATACGCAAGTATTTGAGTTGATTAAATTGAAAGACCAGGAGTTTGTTATTTTCTGTGATCTAAAACTTGCAAATATTAATTTTGGACTTCAAACACATTAAAGTGCACATTCTTGCACATGGTATAGATCTGGTTCAAAAGAACTTGTAAATCAGAGGAAATTGAGGACTTTTGAATCTCTGGAAAAAAATGTCTCACTCTTCAAGTCAGCTGGTTTCAAAATCAGAAAAGCTTGTGGCTACAAAAATGTTGTTCATTCTCCAATATTTAAACTATCTGGAGACACTTTAGTTTTGAAGTTTCTTCTCTCATAGAATTGCATCTTATAGTTGGATTTTTTAATCATCTCTTTGCTGCACAAGTTCAGGTTTTTCCTTGAGCTACTCTTTGAGCTAATGCATTACACATTAAACAACAACCTTACTATGGTAGACATTTTTCGGGAAATGAGTCCAGAAAGCTGCTACACAATATTGATTTTCTACAGTAAATTGCTAAGAAACACCAATGCTATGCAGCCATCCAATTCATTAAAACTTTTCGAAAAATCAATGCGGTAGTGTCTGGCTGTCTTGGATGCAACCTTAATCCAAACTACCCACAAATAATTGAAGCATTCAGAGTGTCTTATCTGGCATTGCAAAATGTGTCTGTTACACTCAAGTCCCATCCAGTAATTTTCCATGTAAAAGATTTCATCGACAAACATAATTAAGCTCTTGGGTTTTACTCAGAACAGGCAACACAAGCAATGCATCATAAATTTCAGATACATTGGCAAAGGTACCAAAGTCCTAATCATCGTCCAGAATAGAGTAAGAAGTTGCAATGTTGGATTGTTAATTTCAATAGTAAACATATGTTTGTGAAAAGTCATTTTAAGAAAGGATTTATGAATGAATTATTTTCTATTTAAAAGAAACTTTTTTTTTGTGAATATATTTTATGTTTGTTACTTGTATAACCTCAAGAATATACTATTTTGCTTTCCTTTTTTATATTGATGTAAATTGGAAATTTTTAATTCTTTAAAAAACAAAATAAGCTCTCATTTTGCATTTTTGTACAATCAATAAAATATTATATCAAACGCAAAACGTGTTTAATACGTCTGTAACACGTTTTAAAATGTATTAATACGTATATTAAACGTGTAAAACACGTTATGTGTTTACTAGGATAAAAATTCAAATGGAAATAACATGCCAGGACGTTGTAATCTGATTTTGATACTAAGTGATCCCCATAATAAAGGCTATCATTCCACCAAAGGGTTTTCCTATATCTGAAGGTTAAGGTTAGAACCTATTTTCAACACTGTGAGTGTTGAAACGTTTGAACTTTTATAATAGGAGCTTATATTTTCGACTCCTTCCCCATCCTAAAAGCTAATACTTGATTCAAGGTTGTTTTCTAAAAGTATATTTTTGTTTATTAGAAAAGCTTTAACTTTATTTATGTCACTATCATTGGATATGTTATTTTTAGCATTAAAATTAGATAGCAAGTTTGTTTCCATTTTAAATGAGAATTTAAGCAATAAAAATAAAATAAAAACATAAATTTTTTAGTTTTCTTTTGGAATCCAGTCGCGAATGAATAGTTTATTGTACAATATTAATGCATATTTTCCGCCTTCTCGTTCCCTTTTCAGTTGTTTTCGAAGCTGTTTTCTTATAATTGTAGTTTCAGTGCAATAGTCTCCATTTATATAAATATTTTTAAATTTTTTGCCTGTTTTAAAGTATTTACTTTGTCTTTATAGTTTAGTAGTTTAAAAATTTTCGGTCGAATTTTATGCGTGCTTCTAAGTGCAGTCCTGTGAGCCTTCTCAATTTTTATATTTCTTAAACCAAATACATATTCAAAGAGTTTCTGCGCCTCATATTCACTGATACTTTAATTTTCATTTTATTTTTCTTATGCCTTCTATTCTAAGGTTGTTCCTTCGTGAGCGATCTCCAGTTTCTTTTTATTTTAAGTATTTCGCTATTGTCTTTCATTTTATTGCTTAACTCTTTAGTTTTTTTCATTACAACTTCAAACTTATCCGTAATAATCTCTTAGTTAGTTTGAATAGCTTTGATGATATGGCTGCAATCTGCTGCAAGAGACATAACATTTTTATTTGTAGTTTCTAATTCAATTGCAATGTTATTGATTTTAGTAGAATTTTCGCTACTAACTTTTTCATTCTTTTCTAACCGCTCAGTAAGTATTTTCATATTTGTTGCTGTTATTGAAGTGAATTTTTTCTTCTAGAATATCATTTTTTTGTTTTCGAGTAACTCGGATATTATCTTCATACCCTTTTTTAAACGTTTATGTATTTGTTATTATTATTTTTTTGGCTTGCAGTTAAAAACGCGTCCGTTCACCATAATGCGTATATTAATGAAAACTAAAAGCAAATAATGTAATTGCAATAAAATAAGTAAATTGCTGCCCCTTTTTTTTAAATAAACATAACCAGTGCTTAAAGACTTGGGTTTATTAATTGTAAATGGTTAAACGTAAAACATCTTTTTATCGGTTTATTCATCGTTAACGAGTAAAGTAGTTGTGTAAATTAATCTCAAGAGTGTAATATTTAATATACTCTTATATACGCTAATATTAACAATTTGTGCAATGGTGTTTATACACTTTTTATTCTCATTACGCCCCAAGCAGCGGTATTTTCATTTTTTATCAAACTCTAAAATAAATGTTTAAAAAAGTTTTTGTATTTTACAGTATTGTTAGCCAAATATAACCATATTTTTCAGCTCTACTTACGATATTACAATATTACGAACGATATTACGATATTACGAACGATAAACTCGTGGTTAGCAAGTTTGCGCTAAAGTTTAATATTAGTTATAGGTAAAAGAAAATTAGGTTATAAACCTTTAGAAGAGTGTTTTATAAAAATTAATTTCTTTTTAAACCACCAAAATGAAAAAATAATCAATTTTCTACTTTACTAGTGAAGCTCCGTTATCAGCTACTGCTTTATGAATAGAATATAATGATTAAAAATACTGTGAATAAAGTAGATTTAAATGTTATTTGCTAATAGACTGATACTTTTGATAAAAACGATATGTTTGTATTCAGCATGCTCTGAATGTAATCAATTTGAAAAATACATTCAAAATTTAATACCGTACACGGTATTACGGGTTACTTTGGCCTGCGGGGTTACTTTGGCCGTTTTTAAAAAGTTTAATTAAACATCTTTAACTTTTAAACAGTTAAGTAACGTTTTACTATTTATCCCGTGTTACGGTAACTTAAAATCATCTGGAGACATAGAGAGCAATTTTTTATCAATTGATTTAAACAAGTCGTTTGCAATAAAAAATCAGGTTGGAGATGGTGAAAGCTTATTTTTGCATAAATGATCCAAAATAAAATTTTTTGTAGAATAAAGATAACATGAAACCATGTTATTCCGTAAAGATAACATGAAACCATGTTATTACGTAAAGATAACATGAAACCATGTTATTCCGTAAAAGATTAAAAAAATATAAAAATTAAAAAAAATTAAGACTTTTTTTTTTAACCTTCTAAAAAAAGATAAAAAAGATTATATTTATATATATATATATATATATATATATATATATATATATATATATATATATATATATATATATATATATATATATATATATATATATATATATATATAATTTTCCCTTTTTTTATTTTATTTTCAAGTTTAAATTGCGATGACAATTTTAAACCTCCTGATTGTGTTAAAAAAATCTGTGATGAGCACGATGATGATATAAACGGACACTACACATGCAGTAAAAACGGAACTATTATATGTAGAGACGGTTGGATTGACCCGTTAACAATGTGTCGTACAGGTAAATTTTAAAATTTTAATTAATATTGTCATTTTTTCATCATTAATATTTTCTTATTTTTTATTTTAGCATTATATTAAAATTGCTTTATTAGTTTGTCTGAATAATAGAAATAATATGATGTAAAAAGTCCTATGTTAAAAAATGTAGATTATTTCAAACAATTGTGATATAAAGTTTTCACGATAAATAACTTTTAGGCATAGATATCACTGCAAACATAAAGTAATTACAAAAACAAAAAAAACTTTAAATAACTATAAATTTTAAATTTTGATGCTTTTAATGTCTATATAACCCAGACAGCAAGGATATAATGGTCCCGCACTGGTCCTGTGTAGGCTGCCGCGCTGGATTGGCTTCGGCTGCCGAAGCTCTGTTTTGCTCTAAGGATTTTTCATGGACCAGCTTTGGCTAGCCAGCAAAAAGTTTGGCTAGCCGCTGTTTTACCCATGGCAAAAATTGTTGTATTTTCCATTAGTTTAAGGACATTATTAGATAAAAGAAATATAACATTAATAGTACGTCATTATAAAGACCTTACCTTAAATATTAAACCCCATTGAGGAGTTTACATATATGGAAACATGTTATTATGATTGAGCAACTCCAACATTGAGCAATTTGTGTTTATAGTTTAAAAGATTTATCATGTAAAAACTCACTGATAAACTTTCTCTCCACATTAACAATTAGAAGATTAAGAGGTAATGTGATATAACTACACAGAACTATTAATGACTTGGAAGTAATAAATTGGCATAATGCTCCAATATTTATAAAAAAATCTATTACAAAAGACAACAATAAATTATATATAAGCAACAATCCAAAAAATCAAACCGTCAACATTGTTTTTTTATAATTAGAATAGCTGACAAATAAAACCATTTATAACTAGAAGTTGTGAAAGTAAAAAATGAGCGATATTTTTAAAACTATTCGATAAATATATACAAAACTGTGAAAAGCTGTTAAAGTCAACTTTTGTTAGACTAATGATGTGTATCGTAACTTTTTTGGTTTATTTATTGTATATATAAGTAAATAAATTAGCAAATTTATTTGAAAAAAATATTAAATAACGATTAAACTGCTAGAAAAAAAAAAAAAAAGATCAAGTCAACAACAAATTCCTTAAATTACTTTGTTAAAAACACTTATATGTTGAAATCTAGATATTTAGACTAGATAATTTTTCCATTTAGCGCTTCATAAGATAGTAATACTTAGGTATCCATTTTTTGACTTCAAAAACTTTGCATTATACAATAACATTCTTATATTATATTTATAAAAAAAAATTTATCTTTATATTATTCCTATATAACTATAAGAATATAAAAGATAAACGCATTAACAACAAAACTATATTACAGAAAAGTTATAAATATGACAACAAAAGGATAATAAAATATAGCAAATTTGTTTAAGTAATCTACCCAATAATGTACATACATTTTATATACTTCTTTTTCTATCAAACCAACATTTGTATTAGTTTTTTTGTTATCAATATCAATCATTCTACAGTTACCATAAATTAGGTTTTGTTTCTTTAACTAACTTAAGTTTTAATTTTCTTAAACCAGTTTTAGCTTAGTGAAAAAAACTTGTATAACCTCAAGAATATGTTACTACATAAGCACACTCATTGATTTTGTTGATGCTATCTTTTCCAGGGCTGAGGAAAGTATAAAGTTGGGTATCATCAGCATATTGATGATGATTTGTACCAAATTTAGCTATAATATGATATATAGGTGAAACAAACATGGAAAATAGAAATGGGCCTAATACACAACCCTGTGGTACTCCTGTTAAACTTGCTATTAGTCTAGAATATAATGATCCAATAGAAACAAAAGATTTTTGAGAGTGCAAGTATGATGTTAGCCATTTTAATGCAATCTCTATGACACAAAATTCAATCTTAATACGGATAATTAATACCGAACGGTTTTAGTATTTAAAGGTTACGATAAAGCTCTACCCGAATCATAAGTGATCTGAAATACCTTCGTCAGTTACTTGGATACTCTTGAGTGAAATATCATCATGTCAATTTATTACAAGATCAAGCAAGTTGGGTATACCAGAAGTAGATGATATGCGAGTTAGAGATTAAACTCGTTGTATCATGTTGTAGGTCTCTAAAAACTCATTAAGTCTTGAATTGCAGGTTATTGGAGTAGTACCTGGGCAGTAAAAATCAGAGAAGCATTTTTCCGGATAATGTTTGAAGTTCCTCTAGAAGTTCAGATAATTCGAAAAAGAAAATGTTTGTTGGAATGATTGGATTTGATCGATAAATAGCAATAACATTGTAGATAGTATTTATTATATTTAGTTTAGCTGATGTATGTTCATTAGATAGACAAGTAGATGATAATGAGAGTGGTTTGATATTCAGGTTGTCTCTTTATATTATTGAGACGGCTCCTCCACGATGGTCTGATCGGCAATATTGAATTGTTTTAAAGCCTAGTGGGGCCATATCTTCTTTAACTGCAGTAGGGTCATCTGACTTTATCCAAGTTTCAGTAAATATAAAATTATTTAGAGAATGATTTTTTACTATATCATGAATGATAGCAGATTTTTTCATGACAGATTAAACATTTTGGATACCTAAGTTTAATGCAAAGGTTCTTTTAATTTTTACATGTAAATTATGCCGATTTAATTTCGATCCATTTGAGTTTACCTGATTGTATACACCAACAATAATTTTTTCCATTGTGCACATTGTATCGTTGCCTCCCATTTGTTCCTCAACCTCTTAAGCAAGAGGTGCATTTTCTAACTTTTCTGAGTTCACTTTCGAACAACCTCTTGTTTGCTGTTTTGTCTTTATTAATAAAAATATTTTTGAAGTTAATACTGTCCTTTAACTTTTTGGAATTTTTAATTATAAAATTTTGAGTTTCTTTGTTCTCCAATTCAACTACGATGAGGTCAGGTGGTCCTTCTGGTCTTTTAGCTTTATTAGTTAGTCGAATTATTCTTTTTGCATTTGTTATTGAAAAATCAGGTTTAATTGCTTTTAGTATTGTTTCAATGGTTTGTTTATCATTTTCTTCATTAATTTGTTTGTCTAAAGTAGTATGATCAGCAACTCCACTTATAACGATGTTGTTTTCAACTTTTTTTTGTTATTAAACTCATTTGTAATTTTTGCCATCATTATCACTTCAGTTTCTTTTGGCTTTAATTGATTTTTCTGAATTGATGTTGCTTGTGCATATGTGAATATTGTTGTTGATTTATTTGTTGTTGCTGTTAAGACATTTATCTTTTCATCTTCAAGAATTTTAAGTCGTTTTAAAAGGTCTAAAACAATATATGATATTTTGCCACACCATATATGCATGCTTTTGGTAACTTCAACAGATGCACTTGGAATTGTTGGCCAATTTGGTTCTTCTAAGCATTTATTGTCGAATTCCACGCCTTTTTTTATTTTTTTTTTCAAATATATAAGAGGGCTACCACACCAAACAACAGTGGATTACCTCCTGATGTCTTCTGAAAGTGGGCTACCACCCTGAATAACAGTGGAATAAGGTTAATATATATACTCTTGAGTATATATATTAACCTTATTACACAGGGACTAAAAAGTTTCAGTATGTGTTTTTTTTCCGTATATGATATATGATCATTATGTTATTTGTAGTGTAACAACACATCCCATACAAAACTTTATTTATTTAACAAAATAATTAATTGCAATAATTTATTCAGAATTTATTTAAAAAACATTGACTTCTTTTCATAAATATTAATTTTTAAAAATTATTCAGAAACTATTTTTAACGCAATATAGAATCACCTGAAAGTATTTTTTTAAACATTAAAGTTTTAAAATATATTTGTAAGAAAAGTGAAAAAAACAGCTTTCAAGATGGATGCAAAATTCTGCGCAGTAAACGCAGATGCTCTTGTTTATACCAAGTACTAGGTAAAATGCAAACTGCGAACCGTGAACTGCATACCGAACTTTATTGCGAACCATCTTCCTATTGTTTGTAATGTTTTATTTCCGTTAAATAGTTCATTTAGCGGTATATTTTAAGGACTTTTAAGCGAAAAAATGAATTAAAAAAATAATAAAAGGAAAATAAGTGAAACTAGACAAATACAATATATAATTTTTTTTTTTTTTTTAATTATTTGATAGACTGCCTACCCAAACCAAACCTTCAGTCAATTTAGCAGCACTCCATAACGAGTTAGGCTATAAGAAAGTCGATGTAGCAGCACTCCGTTGCGAGTCAGGCTATAAGATAGTCGATGTTAAAAAATAAAATAGTTTATTTTAAATAAAGCTTTAAAATAAATAATTAAGAAGTGGAAAGTTTTTTCATTATTATTTTTATCATAACAATAATGGTCTTTAAAATGCTTTGGTTTGCAAAAAAACTCACATTTTACCGGTTCGCAATTCGCGGTTTGCAGTTCGCATTTTACCGACAACCTTTATATCATTATTAATTTGATTTTACCACTGATGGACCTGTATCAGTCCATTGTCTGTTGTTCTGCTTCGGCAAATCTTCGTTGGACCATTAGTGGCTTTTTTGCGGCTACCCAGCTTAGGCAGTTTTATAAAAGCTCGGCGATGTAAATAACGGAACTTTATCGGGCCTTTAAAGAATTAGCTGGCATTGGCTAGCCATTATCGGACCAGTATATACTAGCTGTCTGGGAAGTTAGCTGATATAGCCGCAGTTGCAAAACTTAAACATTTGTTATAAGTTTTGGTATCCTTTGTTTGTATGAAAGTTAGATTAATTTTGATTAGTTTCTCTTTATGCATGCAGACCAGTACATGTTGCTGAGCCAATAGTTGATTGAGACCTTGCATTCTGCAGTTTGATGATAATGGACAACTCTATGATATATATATATATATATATATATATATATATATATATATATATATATATATATATATATATATATATATATATATATATATATATATATATATATATATATATATATATATATATATATATATATATATATATTTAATATATATATATTTAATATTAATAATATTTATTCTAAATTATTTGCTTTTAGTTTCTATGCTTCCACAAAGTAAGTTTTTTTTCTTTTTTATTACATTGTGCTCCTGTTATTTCTTCCAAATAGTCAAAAGTTAAACTTATATATTGTTTTAAAAGTTTTAAATGCAGTTACGAGAAACATAGAGCATCATGCAAATGTTCTATAACTATAGTTATTTTTAAAGTTTCAAGGGTTGGTTGTTATAACGACTTTGGAATTATTGCTGGAATGCGACTGTTTACAACGCTTGTTAACTACCGTTCTTTTGTTAACTGGAATAACCGAAGCGGTAGCTTCAAAAATATAACTGAGTTATGTTCATCGTTTGTTAAAGATAACAGTTTTGAAGTTAGTGACCAAATCTATTTAAAAAATTTAGAAATTTATTTACAACTTATTATTTATATCAGTTTATTTCTATTTTCTAAAATGATTTTTTTGTTTTTTTATATTTCTTCACTAATTGAGTTTCAAGTTAAACTAAGTTTTATTTTTCAAGTACTTTGGTATTTCATACTGGGGAGAATGTTGGACTGGCTCAACACTTGATATCAACTATGATCGAGATGGTGGATCCTTTGGCTGTTGGCCGAGCCAAAACGCAAACTTAGGACCAATGCTTGTTGGTAAAGAAGCAACAATTATGGTTTATAAATGGAATTATGAATCGACAAAATAGTTTGTTGATAATAGTATATAAGCATTGTTGTGTAAAGATATATTTTATTCTGTTATTCACATAATATAGATATGTAAAATTTTTGCTTTTTAATTTTTTTTTATTTTTTATTACAAACTATATACAATTTTATTACAATTAAAGACATTGTTAACAATCAACATATCACGATATTAAGAGTTTTTGTACCGAATTTTTAAGAAACAAAAAAAAAGTCATGTTCATTTCGCAAATGCTATTTATGAAATTTAACCTTTCGCAAAATGATTACAAAATAAAACTATTTTTCTATTTGCAAATTTTTTCTATTTAGCGCTTACGAAGTCGCACGTGCGAAACTAGGTCTTTCGCTAAACGACGTTTTGAAGTCTGCAAAGAAAGTTTGTTTGCCAAACGGATATAATTGTAAAAAATAAAATCTTTATATACCACTAGCAGTAAGCAAACTGTAATACGGGTTAATAGTATTTAAATTATTGATTATAGTTAACGACAAAAAAAGACTACATTAACATTAGTTAAGTTCTATTTAAAATCTAATATAACACAGCAGCAGTGGCGTCGCTAGGGGTTCGGACCGCACCGGGTGACACTTTCACAGCTTGATACAGAGAGGTGACACCGAAATTAAAAAAAAATCAATTTTTGTGAGAGGTAACAAGTTGTTGCTAGTCAGTACCCAAAAAAGACGTCGAAAAGACGTCTTTAAAAGTCTTACTTACGATGTCTTTAAGACGTCTTTTTTGAATCGATTATGCAAATCTAAAAGAGATCTTTTTTCGACATCGAAAAGATATCTTTTTTTATCTTAATCTTGTCATGAAAAGACATACAAAATGCGTCTTTAAGACGCCTTTTTTCAGTTGAATATGCAAATCTAAAAAGACATCTTTTTTCGACATCGAAAAGACATCTTTTTTTATCTTAATCTTGTCATGAAAAGACATAAAAAATGCGCCTTTAAGACGCCTTATTTTAGTCGAATATGCAAATCTAAAAAAGTGTTTTTTCTCGGGGTCGGAACGACTTATTAGTATACTATAGTATCGTATACACTATAGTATTCCTACTTTCCTTATATGAAAAGCTATTCTTTTCAAATGAAAATGATAATAGCTCTTCATACAAAGTATGACAAAAAGCTTTTTCCGATGCCGAGAAAAAAACCTCTTTTAGAAGTCAATATAAAAGAGGAAGCATTTTCTTCATCTTTTATATATTTAAATATAGGAGAATAATTTATTAATAAAACAATAATATTGTTCAACAGAATATTTTTTCATCTTTCTCTTTCTTTTCTGTTTCTTGAGCGAGCTCTGTTTCTTGGCGTTGTTGGATAAAATTAATAATTTCACGTCGAGAAGACCTTTCATACGAGCAGGTTACGACTTCTAGCTGGTTACCACTTCTAAAAAACGAGTGAACATAAAAAACAGTCTATTGCTCAAATGTAATACAAAAAAAGCAAACGAAACTTGATTAGCTGAGTGGAGCACATTATACTTACCGACTATTAATTCAAAAAGGGCTGATCCTTTTAATCCACTCGTGTTTCCAGCGCGGTCCCTTCTTTTTGAACCCACTAGGTTAGATTGGGACAGGAGTTAAACGGTAAACAGTCTAAAAATATATAAAAATAAGTGTGCTAAATAAATTTACAACCATCAAAATGACTGTACAACAATGTATTTTATTAAGTAGTACTTTTATTAAATCAAGCTAAACATTTTCACCTCTCAGATTTGCTATGAAAACCAAGTTATTGAAAACAGATACTGATATTTTTCTGTCTTCTATAACACGATTTTTTAATTGAATTTCGCATTAAGTGTTGTAGACTCATAACAATTTAAAAATCCGTTATTGACTAAAGACTATCAAAACAAAAAGATATTTCAGCTAAAACACCTTGAGAGTTGTTGTTCATTCAAACTAGAAAAAAGTATTAGTCAAAGCTCTATTTTAGCCTGAAACATAAGGATGTTTTACTTTTTTTTTTTTTTGTATGTATTTAGGAGCTCCCAGAAGTCCTTACGGTCTTATCATAGAGCACCGCGGGAGAGCATTTAACAGGAAGTTCACGCCTCCTTTCGTACCAATGTCACTTGTTGGGCTAGAGCTGGCGTCGAACTTTGGACCTCTGGGTTCTGAGCCAGAACTCTAACCACTGCGCCACGGCTGCTCAAAACATAAAATCATAAAAACTGGCGATACCGTTAGCAACACAGATGAAATACACAGCAACAAAAATGAAGACTAGAAAGCTGCAATGATGTTTAGATATAAGAAAGTGTACCTTTCCAGGATCATTTTCACTTCGTTTTTTGTATCCAAACCAAAAATTTTGCGAACATTTCTAAAGATAAATCTGTTGTCATTATCTGTATTTTTATAATTGCTTTATTAATGACAGACAAGTTAACAAGGAAATAACTTATTTAACATAAAAGTTGAAGAGCCAATCTTTTGTATAAACAATTTCATCGTTTAACTAAATTAAAACAACAAAATTCAGATCATTTAAAAATATATAAAAAAAAAATTGCAAGCCTACTAAATGCTTCTTTTTTCTATCGTTCGTTTCACTGGCACTTGAACAAGTAAATATAGAGTGAAATTGTTTTCAGGTTTTATTTCTCCTCTGAAAATAAATATTTTAATTTAATATGTAATAACGTTCTTCAAGCACAATACATTAAAAAATTAGTCTATAAATAAATGGTAAAACTTTTTTAAAACACTTACCTGCGACTAACTTAATTGAGACTAGATCATATCGATACCATCTTACTGGCACCACGCCATCCACTTTTGCTTCTTCCGATTAACATTTTTTAGCTAAGCAGCTGCAATTGTATATTTGTTTCAGTATATATTATAGTATATATATATATATATATATATATATATATATATATATATATATATATATATATATATATATATATATATACATATATATATATATATATATATATATATATATATATATATATATATATATATATATATATATATATATATATATATATATATATATATATATATATATATATATATATATATATATATATATATATATATATATATATATATATATATACCCCTACTCCTCTACCCCTACTCCCACTTTAATTAATGTATGAATCACTTTCCGAGTAACATGTTCAAAATGTCCCAATTAATAAATGATTTAATAATAGTAATGACTTTAATTATTAAAAAAATTCATAAAATTTTTAAAAAAGATTTGATTAATTTAATTTAAACATAGATTTAAAAAAAATGGTTCGAATGTGAAATAAAAAGAACTTCTTGTTTAAAAAATAAAAATATTGAATAAAATTTCTTCACTCAATAAAAGTACAAGGATCAGTAAAGTGAAAAAGCTTTTTAACAAGCGTTTGATTATCATCAGTTAAAAAAATTTCACAAACTTTTTTAACTAAGTCTAAAACTAATTGAAAAAGATTGAAAGTATAAAGATTATTTCTTCAAAAAATTTTTTAATTTACTGATAAGGAAAAAAATAAATACATTTGGTTAATTTAAAGACAAAGTAGTATGTATCTGCAGATGTGTGACAAATGTGCATATGTATTATAAACATAATAACGTATACATATGTATTATGAACAATATGAACGTAATAAAAAAACTGAATAAAAAAAGTTCGAAAAGTTCTTTAGCTTCTCTATTCATTTCTTTTATACACCATAATGGTTGAGTCTTGTCCAACAAGCATTGGACCCAAATTTTCATCTGGAGTAGGCCAACATAAAGTAGATTCTCCGTCTCGAGCATAGTTTATATCGGGTGTTGCACCAGTCCAACACTCACCCCAAAATTCAATACCAAAATACTGTGGAAAAATGAATATTAATGGTAAATAAAGTTTAATAATGAACAAATTAAATAGTTTAAAAAAAGGAAAGGATCACCTAATAATTAAACTTTGAAAAACAAATAGAAAAACTTTTAGCTTGCGTACTTGAAACCCGTTTTCTTTAGCATAAGAGGAACATTTCATAGTTATATTTTCAAAGCTAACTTTTTTATTATTCCAGTCAATTAATGAGCGATAATTAACAAATATTGGGAAAGGTCGTTTTCCAGAGATTGGTCCAAAGTCATGAAAGCAGCCCACTTTTGCGATTTAATTAAAACATAAAATATATAGTTTTTTTTTTGTATTTATTTTTTATATCATACAAAAGAAGATTAACAACTCATAGATACAACATTAAAAAAACAGAAATAAAATAAAACTTACAAGGTTGTAGTGTTGAAACTAAATTAAATAAAATACTCAATTTTAGAAAATAATACTTAACTAAGAAAAATCTAAAACTATTTTTAGCTGATTTTGTTTTATTTCTTATATTTTTTTAATAACTCTAAAATACTAAAAGTAAAGCACATAACCTACTCTTGGTTAGTATCAACAAGTTTTTTATTTGTAAATTTGCTATTATACTTGCAAAAATATGTTTGCAAATTTACAAAAAAAAAAACTTGTTGGCACTTACCAAGAGTAGGTTATTTTATTATTATTATTATTATTATTATTTTCTGGCTAGTTGGCCTTGTTGGCCAACTAGCCAGAAAAAAAAGTTGTTAGCTTTATAGACTAGTTAAAACAGATAGTAGAGTTAGTTAAAAAAACATGATACTAGCATAAAAGTTCGTAGCATAATAAATATTGTATATAAATAATAACAAATATTGTTTCAATAAGTAATAAAGCAAAATAAACAATAAAAAATTTAATTATCTTAAAATCACAAAAAGTTACTTTCTTACAAAACTTCCTGAAACCACAAGCAAAAAAAAAATTGTCACAATTTATTTTTATATACAAAAAAATTATGGAGTCATTCTTCAAACTTACCAGTCTCCACTAGATGACAAGTATCTGTATTGTGTTGCTCCTATTTGCGACAGGCCTCAAATTTCGATAACCTGCATTACCACAAATTTGTAACTATAATAACTAGTTATTGACATATCATTTTAACGTGTTGTTGCACTATAAACAATTCATCAAATATTATGGAAAAAAGCTTTGAAAAAAATTCAGAAAGGTTTAGATGTGGTTTAAGTTTGGCTGCTATTGCATTACGCTAGATTTACTAATCATTAAAATCATTAAAGGAAATTATTGCGTAGAACAGTCAATTTGGGTTTCCAAAGCGTTTTGATTTTCCAAACGATTTATCAGTACATAAAGCATAAGGACATCTTATTATTAAATTATGTACAAATTCAAATTATTGTTATTATTTTTTTTAAATGTAAATTCAACTCTCCAAGGCCGTGAAAGCCACCTCAAACGAGGAGGCTACTTAATTGTGGTCATAACCCTCTCTTAACTCTATAACTCCGAGACACGAACCTTGACGAACAAGGCCGCTGCGTGAAGAAACATCGATATATATATATATATATATATATATATATATATATAAAAATATATATATATATATATATATATATATATATATATATATATATATATATATATATATATATATATATATATATATATATATATATATATATATATATATATATATATATATATATATATATATATACCGATGAAAAATTCTTCAAAGATTGAATGAATGATAATAAACAAGAACGTTTTTTTCTCATGTTTTTACAACTACAAAACTGTCTAGGAAGATTGAAGTTAATGTAAATCAAAATTGAATGAAAGTTTAAAAAACATATTTCTAAAATAAAGTTTTTTGAACTTTTCTTCAAAACTATAAAGTTATAAAAAGTTTTCAAAAATCATAAATGAAGAAAAAGCATTGTCAGCAAATGTGGTCTTTTTATAAACCATACTAAACCATTAATGAGATAAACCCTTAATGAGAAACATGAAAATGATGAATGTATAAGAAATATATTTTTATCAGCACCTAATTTTCATGTATAAATATATTAATAACCTAACTCCAGCTAATTTTATTTGTAAGTTTGAGAAAAATTTAAATGAAAATTTTTTTAAAGAACAAATCGATCAAATTTCTTTACTCTGGAAATTAAATAAATATACATAATATTTGATAGCATATCGAGGACGAGATATCGAGGACGAGATATCGAGGACGAGATATCGAGGACGAGATATCGAGGACGAGATATCGAGGACGAGATATCGAGATATCGAGACATAAAAAGTTATGGAATTCTTTTCAAAAAACTAATGCAAATATGGTAAAATCATTCACTTAAGTTTCAAGCAAAAGAACACATTTTTAATTTTGCGGAATAATAATTCCAAAACAGTTTTGTAAACTTATTTAAATGAATTTTACTTATGATTCTTAGTAGTTACTAACGATATACGTTTCTTTTAACGTATTAATTATCAAAACATTTTGTATATGTTTGTATTTATTTTTTTTAATACCTAAAATTGCAATATGATTATTGTAAAATATCTTTGTATTTGTTAAAATAAGTTTTTCTTGTTATATCTTTAGTTTACTTTATATATTTTTTATTTTGTTACATTTATATCTTGGATTTATATTATTCTTTTTGAATATTTTATTATTTGAAATGTCAATATTGTATTACATAAAGGGGCTCTATGAAAAGATTGAGGTGATATTCCATCATCCATATCTTCTTTGAGTATTCGTCTGTATTTAAAATATTTTATTTATTGATATTTACCATGTAAAACTCATCTGCAATTTATATTAACAGCCAAATATAAAGTGAAAAAAAAAAATTCTCAAAAATGTTTTTATTAGAAACAAAAACTTATCAATCTAGTAGTATCATTAGTAGCATTTTCATTAACAAATACTTTAATTTTGAATACTCAAAAAATACAAAAAGAATATTTTAAGCACGCAAAGTAAAATTTTTATTATTTTTTCCAAACTTTCAATTATCTATTAAAAATGGCTACTCATTTACTAGAAAAATGAAGGTTTTGAAAAACTTAAATTTGCAACTTTTACGGAAAATATAAATATCTTGTCGGGCGAAAATTATTTTTTAAAATATTTTTTAAAAACTCAAATGAACCTAATTAATACATAAGTTAATTTGATTTTGAAGCAACAAAATGATCATCGTTCTTTTTCTATATTACTTAATGTTTATTAACAGCATACAGCAAAAAATAATAAGTTATATATTTGTCGTCATATTTTTTTTAGAGACAATAAATGAATTCTCTTTTGAACTGGTAGTCATATAAAAATGATAATAAAAAAAATTATAGTTGATTAATGCATAATGGTGGAAAAAGTGTCGCAAAATCAGCAAAAGTATATTTGCCTTTATAAGTATATTAGCCATCTGTTTTTAAATAAATTTTAGTAATCAGTAAACAGCAAATCTAGATATTCCATTTCACCGTCAGAATTTACCTAAATCAGAATGTAAAAAAAAAATTAACTTGTTTCAGATGAACCCATAGATTTTCAATAGTTTTGAGGGAGGTTTTGAAACGTTTAGAGATAAAGATTAGTATTCAGAGTGATTCATAAAAATTCTGAGAGTTAAATAGAGTGTATATATCCTGTAAACATATACTAAAAATTTGAAAACAAAAACTCTATTCGATATCAATTTATCGCATTTTATCCGATATCAAGTTATCGCATTTCATCCGATATCAAGTTTTAGGAATAAAGTAAATATTTAAACAGAAAAAAAAAATTAAAATAATCGAATTTGACTTTTTTTCATAGCTTTTTAAAACTGGCTCTTTCATACACACTCTCCCCTAAAATACTTTCTTTTAAATAAAAAAAATTTATTTCAAAAAAAGAATTGAAAATTGTTTAACTTTTCTATTTATTTTGTTTAAGTAGGAATTCACTATCAATCTCAAATCTCTAGGAGTCAATGGAAAACCAAAATCACTCATGGATTCAATATATGAAACGACTCTTCTTCAAGTCTTGCTTGCTTACCTGGTCTCATCAAATACTTTTGCTTTAGCTTATTAGTTATTGTTTTTCTTGAAATGTTAAACTGATTTAAAGCTACAAGTTGATTGTATGTTCCTTTTTTTTTTATTAAACCCAAACATATTTGCAGTGTTTCATTTGAATAACTTTAGTAACAACGAGCTCCTAACTTTCTTTTTTAATGCCTTATCATCCTTAAAAATAATTTGCATTTTTTAGCAACGTTTTAAACCATTAATAGTAAAAAAATAATAGTCTCAGGTTACTTTTCACTAAACTGGTGCAAATTAGTTTTTTGACAAAATTTGACACTAAAACTGTTTTTAAATAATACCTTCATAAATAATAAATCAATTTAAATTTTTTTTGCATGGTTTAAACTACAGATGGTTTCTTTTCATAAAAAAACTAAACTTATTAAAAATTGATATAGGATTTATTATTCATCATATTGAAAGAGAAATCCTTAATCTTTTCAAAAATCTTTTTGACTTTTAAGTGATGTATTTATAGTTAAAAAGATAAGCTTTTATCAAAAAACAAAATTTTTCTAAATAGAAAGTCTCCTAAAGTAAAGAAAACGAAATTTAAAAAGTTGTTGGTGAGATGAGCTTCAATACAGGTAGTGCCATAATGTAGTACGCAATGGGTGGCTCTGTTTTAAGGATGATATTTTGCAGCGCGCGTTATTACGCAATTTTAAAGTTTAATTAAACTGGTGACAGAAAACGCATAGGAGGACAACTTGTACAATGACATGACCATATAACAACTTTATGGAGAATGAAATGCTTTTTTTGGAGTACCTCAAAAAGTGAGTCTTGGTTCGATCCCGTTTTTAATTTATATAAATGAATTTGGTATGACTTATGCCTAAAATTACTTTTTAGAACACTTTTTTATGTTTTATTTGCTCTTATAATTAAAATAAATTAAATTAAAAGAATTTGTATAATTACTTTTATTTATAGCCGCGTATAAGTATTTAATCCGGCAATAATACGTTAATAGTCAGAGTTAGTCATGTTGACAGATAGACAGACAGGTGTTAAAAAAAAGTTTAGAAAAATTATTGGACTAATAATGCATATGAACGTGTTGATTTTTTAACTCAATAAATTAATAAAAAATTCAAAAAAACAAATAAAAATTACTTAAGCATTTCTTCGATGGGTCAGTCCATCCGTCTCTGCATGTTATAATTCCATTTTTTTCACATGTGTAGTGTCCGTTTATATCGTCATCATGTTCAATGCATACCTTTTCAACACAATTAGGAGGTTTAAAATTCTCATCGCAATCCAAACTTTTGAGGTTAAAAAAGAAAAACTAATGAAAAATGGTTTCAATATAAAATAATGTTTAATATAAAACAAGCGTAAACCCTTTTTTCAGAGGTGGAAAGTAACGAGTTACGTTTCCTCGCGTTACTGTAATTCAGTAGTTTTTTGTGAACTTTTAGTTTTTAAGTATTTTTTTAAAATGTTTACTTGAGTATTTTTTACTTTTACTTTAGTATTTTTTTTTTCAAAGTATTGTTCTTCACCACATTTTAAATCGTACACTTTATTGAGTAAAAAAAATTTAAAACGCAAAAGTATTTAATTTCACAAAAAGTATGATTTAGTTTAATTATTTTATCAAAAATTAGCACCTGTATTATAAAATTGTTCTCCTAAAATTTTTTAAATTTAAAGTTTTAAAAGAAGTTACAAATACAATAAAAACGTGTCTCGTTTATGTTTCGAATTTTAATCTTTCTTTTAAAATTTTAAAAGAAAATTTTAAAAATCATTATACGAAAAAATTTAAAAGAAGAAAATTTAAAACAAAATTTAAACGAAGATTGTTTATTTATTTTATTTATTTTATTGTTTTTGAAAAAATGAACAAAATACAAAATAGTGAGACAGGTAATTACTAAATTACTCTTATGTAACACCAACAAAAAAGTAGTTATAACAAAAGATTTTCTTACAGCGAAAGAATCATTAAAGTAAAGAACTCACTTCCAGACCATTTAATGAACTCTCCCTACTGTCTGCATTTAAATCGAATTGAAAAAAGTATAATTTAAAATGTCATTGAGCTACTAAACTTGGTTTCTTCACAATAACTCTTATTAAAGATTTTATTAATAAGGAAGGGGGGGGGGGGAGCAGATGTTGATATCAAAGGTAAAAAAAAAAAAAAAAATTCTTAAACTGACGAACGACTTTCTAAATTAAAAAAATAAATAATTTAATTCTGGTTGAGGGAGGGATGTATATTTTGCCTTCTTTTCCCCATCCCCTGCTTTTTTGGCTGGGGTGGCAAGGGTAGCATGCATGTGCTCTTTCTAGCAAATAGGTATGGTAATTTTTTGTGCCTTAAAAGCACTTCATAATCCAACATTTCATTATCAATACTTTATTATCAATATATTCCAACTGGAACTGGTCATAGGTGGTCATAGATTAATTTTTTTTATAAATTTTTTAAAGAGAAACAACTCATATAAATAAACAGACATTAAAGAATTTTTTGTAAATCGCAATCACGTTTAGAACTGAATGTTTCCAAATATCAATTCGAAATTAAATAAAATGTAATATTAAGTTTAATTCTTTTTGCTATTGACATACGTCACAACTTCTTATTATTATGCTTTAATTCTTTATATATATTCCAAATGTTTTTTAAAGGTTTAATTTAATGAGTTTAGTTGGTTTTTTAATGATTTATCACTGAAAGCTATCTTTTGTGAAACCTGTACGAAAAATGATTCATGTTCTGGTGGAGTGTTCAAGCATGGAGTCGGTAAAGGATTTAGAACATGGTGCAAATCTGAAGCAGCACTAAAAAATCACAAGGACTCTAGTGTTCATAAGGCAGCATGTGCTCTAAAGATTGATCATGAAAATATAAAGATTACAACAGTTAATGCTCAAATTGACCATATGTACATAAATGTACTTGTACAATACAAATGTACAACCAATTGCTTACACTCGGCAAGCAGTTTGAAGAAAAGGTTTCCTAGCTTATTTCGGAACATTCAAAACATTGCTTTGACAGGATGTAGCTATAAGAGGTGATAATAATGAAGAATCCAATATTTACGAGTTTAATTAGGATAAGAGTAAAAGTGACAAGGTATATGAAATGTTTATGATTGAAAGCCATTATTTTTTATCTCGTGACACGTTGCAAGAGCAAAAACAAATTTTTGCCTTAGAAGTAAAAGACAGATTGTTAAACTGATCAAAGATAACATTTCTATTTACTAAGAAGGAACAAATGTCGTTTAATATAAGAACTTGTAGTGACAACTATGAAGTGAATGAAGATTTTATTGAAGTATATGAATGAGTCAGCTGTATTTTTTCAGATGCCTTGGTGACATTTTTTTAAGATACTATTGCTGCAGAAACAAGAGCACAAATCAAAGGTTTATTATCTCAGCTTTCATTAGTAAAAAAACATTTTGAATTGCAAAGCTTTTTTGAGTTACTTGCTGTTTTAGAGAATCTATTGAAGCAGTTACAAGAAACTAATCTGACAGGTGATGTTGCGGTATTTTGTATTCGAAATGCGTCTCAGAGATTTTCAGAACTTAAATCAGATAAAGAATTTAATAGACGTTTAAAGGAGACAAAAAAATACCTGGAATCAAGCAAGGCAATAAGTCTGAAACCGAAGTTACGCAGAGATAAAAAGTAATATCTAAAACATTACACAATTCAGTAATTTTGTGTTTTTACTAATGAAAGCTGAGATAACAGTTGGACCTGCTCTTGCATCCAACCTTCAACCTTTGTCACATCGCCGTAATGTTGCTTCTCTTTCTCTTTTCTACAAATACTATAATAGGCACTGCTCTAAAGAGCTAGCGTCTCTTGTACCATCAATTAAAATTCATTCTCGTGTTACTCGTCATTCAATCAATCATATAATTTGCAATCTTTTAAGTCGTCTGTCAATCGTTATCTTGCTCTACAATCTTCATCTTTTCTCTTCCAGTATCTTCCAACACTAATTAAAAAAACTGTTAAAAAAATATAGATGAAGCTTTGATTTCAGCTTTTTATCAGGCCTGACATGAGTATTTCTGAAGACGATAAAGAGATTTTAACTATTGAAATTATTACAGAAAAAACAAAAATATAATTTTAAGCTTCCGCTATCGCCCACCGTCAGGCGCAATTAAAAACTTTAATAATTTTTTAATTAATGATATCATAAAAAAAGGTTTTCAAGAAAAAAATTTAATTACTTAATTGGTGATTTAAACTTAAATTTTTATGACTTTTACATAAATAACAACATAAAAATTTTTTGTAACAATTTGTTTGAAAATGGGGCAATCCTTTTAATAAATAAACCTATAAGGATAAGAACAAAACCAGCTTCACTATTAGACAATACTATTACAACCGATACCTCAAATAAATTGCTCAAAAAAAGATTTATTTGAAGTGATTCATCTGACACAATTTTTTTCTCTATTAATAGAACTACTTAGTTATTACCTCTACGAAAACAAGTAATTATAAAATGACTCATTAACGATAAAAACTTTCTCTGATTTAAAGAACAATTGTCTTTGATAAATTGAAGTTTTATCAGTAATTCTGTAACAACAGACAGGAATTACTTATTGTGTGTTTCTCGATTTCCAACATGGAAGGAAGTCAGGGAGCATTTACTGAAACAACGGAATTATCCACAGTTAATTTTGTGCATTATTTCAACCAAGTTGCTGCATCGCTCAACCCGGTTCAACGTCATTAATTAAAAAAAAAGTTATCACGCTGTTTCACGCCAAAGTTTTTTTACAAAGTTGCTTCTCATTTAACGCACCGTAAGTTGATAGTCAGTACATCGTCGATATGCATTGGTACAGTGATACAGACAAAACCGTTTCTGATCCAGTCATTTAATCTTGCAACAGACACCTTTGATAATTAACTGAAGAGTTAGTTGTCTATGCGGTGTTTGATGAGGACATTTTGTCTATTGAACAATCTACTATGGGATTGAAGATGTACGAAACCAAAAATGAAAAGAAGGGAAGTCTCTAAAACCGTCTTTCTTGAATTTCGATGGCGCCAATATCATTTTTTTTTGTCTTTTTAATTTGTCAATGTTCCTGGCTAGTATTTAATCTAATCAAGATGAATGCAAACCAGGTAGACTGGATGTAGTTGCCTGTCAAGAACTGGATGAAGATAAAAGACTACAGCATTCTGTAATCAACTGTCAAGTTGTAATTGACTGCACCAAGAGAGGTGTATAACTTATAAAGACTATAAATCTAAAGTCAAGGATCCAGCATTACTCTAAATAATGGAGGACCGCCGCAAATAAGCTTTACTTCAATAAAAATAATATTTTTAATAATAATAAATAACAATATTAAATAATAATAATAATAATAATAATAATAATAATAATAATAATAATAATAATAACATGTTATTTTAACAATAGTAATAATAGTATAGTAGGGTAGATTAGGGTAATATGAGCACCTTAAGCGAAACCTGGAATATTTTTGAAATAATTTTGCTGGATCCAAAATTTTTGCGAATAAACAATTTTTAGGGTTCCCTATTCATGATCCACTTAGATATTTGGGCACCCGAAATTTTTTTCTTAAAGATAAAGATAAAGAGGTTTTAAAAAAGTAGCAAAAGTGCTCATATTATCCAGACCACTTGGTAATATGAGTACTTTAAATAAGCTCAAAAAAATAACGTTAATTAAGTAAAAATATACTAAACTGTGGCCGTATTTTCATCTCTCCGTTAAGCGTAACGAAGCTTTTGTCAAAATGTTCTTTTTAACTACATTAATAAAAAAAACTCTTAAAAAAAATAATTTTTTAATAAAACTGTTTTAATTTAGTCTTAGTTTTATTTAAACAAATTCAAATAAAGTTTTTGTCATTTCTTTACTTAAAAATCTTGTAATTAAATTTTTGACAAACGCTCCGTTAAGCTTAACGGAGAATACGGCTGCTGACACTAAGAACTAATTTTTGGAATATAGTGATTCATTATAAACAAAACTTTTCATTAAAAAATCAAATTCTAAGCCACTTTTTGTTGAAACAATGATACTATGTTTTCGGGAAAAGAAAAAAAATTAGTTCTTTATTTTTTCAATTTTATTTACTCAAACCTTTGAAAGATAAAAATTCAAATTTTTTGAAATTTAAATTACAGAAAAATATTTAGTATTGTTAAAATATTAAAATTTTTTACTATTTTACTAGCGTACTTTCTACGCTAATTGTACTGATACCTGTTATCACCACATAAAATTGATTCAAAAAATACAAAGCGACTTTAACTTTACAGCTTACATCTAAGAAATTTTAAGTATGCTCATATTACCAAGATGCTCATATTACGCTAATCTGCCCTAATTATAAAAATAAAAATTAATTGGTGTTACTTTCTATACAACAATCGTTTAAACATACAAAGTTACAGTTACAAACTGTGATAAACTGACAAAACGTAGCAACTAACGATGACATAAAAACGACTAGGGGAAGGGCGCCTATGATGGCATAGCGCCTATGATGGCAGACCGTTTATATTTTTATAAATATTGGTTATGGCAAAAAAGTGATTAAACCAACATGTCTATACTGACTTTATATTAGTTTTAGTAAAAATACGTCCATTATGCACAAATATTGCTTTCATAATCAAGAAAAATCGATTTTGGAATATACTGTTGTGTTTTTAATCCCTTTAAATATTTAATATTGTGATTTTAATATTAACTGTGCAGAAATAAAATTTTCATGCATTTTATTTCCAAGTTTTGTGCATTTAGTGGAATACTTACTTTAATTTTCTCTTTTGAACAAAGCAGACACAGCTTGTTTTAGTGAAAATGATGACTTCTTCCTATGATGGCATACTGACGAATTAGTTGTGTTGCAATTTTGAGGAGTGTAGAAAACCTTTTTTTTTCATAAAAGTAATATACTTATTATTGAAGTAAAAAGGAATTTTTACTTCACTTAAAAATTAATGGTTCATAAAACACATAAAACGCAATATCTCTTATGCGCATGCGCGAAATTTGACATTGCAAGAATGAGTTAATTAGGATGATTACGCGTAGTTTCTGGCACTTCTGAGGGAAGGCTCTTAGGTCAAATGAAATTCAATTTATCTTTGATACTAACCAACCCCATCCTCCCCTATGCCATCATAAGAGCAGTAGTTGCCTATGATGGCATACTTATGCTTTTTTTTTTAAATAAAATAACTAATAAAAAAACAAAACTGATGAAAAATCCTAAATTTATTATTGTTCTACATGTAACAAAGAATATATCCATATCAAAACTTTTATTCTTGGTGTTCAGGATACTGAATAATTAAGCTTTAAAGTTAAGTATGCCATCATAGACGCTTTTACCCTACTGCTGAAAATTATTATAAAGATTTAGTAAATATATTTTTTTTATAAAATAATAACCAAAATATACAGCAAATATATAGCAAATATATAGCAAATATATAGCAAATATATAGCAAATAAAACACTGAAAAAATCAAAACAAAACAAGAGTTACATCAAACATTATAAGCAAAACAAAAAGTTACGTTAAATTCTTTTAGCAAAAAAAAACAAAAAAAAAAACACATCAACAACAATAAGAAAACAACAACATAAAATTAAAAACAATAAATAAGGAAATAAAAAAGTATTAATAATACACGTTAGAATAAAACATATATAATAAATGGCTAATACGAAAATAAAACTTTTTTTACCTTGTTGTAAATAATATTTCACTTGATTTCAATGGATTTATTCCACCTAAAATAACATGTTTTTTTACGCCAATTGCATCAAGGGAAAATTGTTTTGACAACCGATTGAACAAATTGATATTCTTGTCATTTTTGTGAGATTTAGTGTAAACTGTGACACTTAAATTAAAATTTACCTATATCAAAAAAAAAAAAATTTTCTAAAGGTCGCATATCATACATAGGGTTACTTGTCACAATCTTTGTAAAAAATTTTACTAAGCCTAACCCTACGGGCATTTTATTTTAAATATTACGGTCTAAACGTCTTTTAAATGTATTTTAAACGTCTTCTAAACGTTCCTTACGTTTAAATGTTAAGAAGACGTTTAAAAGGCCTTTAAAAAAAATTTAGAATGAAAGTTTTTAAAAAAAATGCACGTTGGGAAGTGAAAACTAGTTGGAGCAAATTTTAAAGTTAAAAAAATTTTAAAAAAAATTTGGTTGCACATTTTCCGATTTTTAAATTGTCAAAATTAAAAAAAAATTATTTCAAGGTTAAAATTTAAGTAATTTAGTTTGCTTTTATTAGGCAACGAAAACATTTTTCACTTTAAAACACATTTTGAACGGCCATAAAGTGATTTTATAGTAAAGAATTGCGCCCTATGTCCCAAACGAGAGAGCAACAAGGTGGTCAACATATTTTTTTACTTTTTTTCTTTTTTTTTTCTTTTAGATGCTACAAGAAGTCTTTACGGTCTTATCCCATGGCACCGCAAAAGAGCATTTAATCAGGAAGTTTACGCCTCTTTCCTTATCAATGATACATATATGGCCATAGCCGGTTTTGAAAAACGAACCTCCAGTTCTGAAGCCAGAACTCAAACCATTACACCACGTCTGGTGCTAACAATTTTCAACTAATTTTATATTTATTGAATATAAAATTAGTGATTTTAGTAAAAACTTACTTAATTCAATAAGTAATTAGAAACGTATATTATGACCTAGAATATACAAACAAGTGGTTTTCTAACTACATTTTTTTCTGTTGCTGATGGTCCGACTTTCCGCTTTTTTCTAAAATCTAAACGTCCGTACCATAAGTAGCGTTTGTTCTTTTATTTTTTTTATTATAAACTTGTTTAGCCGACGTTTACGTAACTTTTATGACGTAAATGTTGGCTAAACAAGTTTTATTTAATAAACTTATAGAAGTTAATAAGGGTTTGTTAGGAAACGTTCATATGCTGTGATAAAATTAAAAATATCCCAGAGTCCCGAACTCCTAACAATATTTAAAATGGGTGGGACTCCGGGTAAATACAGGGACTCCGGACTCCTAATTCGCATCCCTGGTCTTTTGAAATTTAGCATTAGTTGATTAAAGTTTTAACCTAAGAATTTATCTAAAAAAGACCTAAAATTGACCAAAGGTTTTGACCTTAGAATTGCTTAGTTTATTTTATTTCGCCAATTAAATGGTTGTGGAAATTTTAATTCATTTTTAAGTCTATATAAAAGATATATTACAGTCCAATTTTTTAATTATTATTTTTGAAAAATTTATACTATTTTTTAAAAATTTATTAAAATCTAATTTTATAATATCAAAAAGTTAATGTGGAATGTTTGATCTTCGGTCGCTCTAGATTTACAGAATAGAATTAATGCAACCCGTTCTTAGCAATAACGGGATAAAAATGAAAAAAATAAAACAGAAGCTATATATGTATATAATATATAGGTATTGTCATTTCCGGCTTAGAACATTAGGTTCGGTGCAAAAATATTTTGAGGTCCTTTTTTTGCAAAACTTACTAGTAGCATAAGGCCTGGGTACTATCTATTGAAATTAATTTTTTATTCCTCTAGAAAAATTAAGCTATGTTTAAAATACAAAGGTTTTATTGTTGCAAAAATAAAACATTTTTAATATAAACGAAGTTTTGAAACTTTATTTTGAAACAAAATTATCTATCAAAAAATAAAATTAATATTGCCGCAGGTGTCTGAATTACTATCCATTTTCTGTTAAAAAAGATAATAAAGCTAGTTTTTTTTATATATATAGTGGCAAGATGATTGCATATTTTGGTAACTAAAGTGCTGTAAGGTACATATCTGTTTTATTAGAAAAAAAAATCATATTTTACACTAGTGAACAAGTTACATAACCACGCTATTTTGTCTAAAATTCAATTCAACAAAGAAAATAAATAATGTATTATCTAAAGTATGTACCAATATGTTCACAACGAAATAAAACTTTAGTTATAAATTCTAAAAGCATACTAAAAAAGCATACTAAAAAAACTAAAACCAAACATCAAAAATACATTGCACAATAAAAATATATCTTAAAAAATAGTTAGTTAACTAGTACCTCTGGTTAATCTAATAAAAACATAAAATTTCAGTAAAAAGCCCAATTAACAACATAACATATAAAATGTATATATTTTTGACAATAAATAATTTATTGTTTGTTGTAACAATTTCATTTATTAAACTAAATTGTTTTAAAATACTCTAGTAAAATGCAATATTTATAGCAGGCATATACTTAAACATACTTTGAAGCACATTGCCTTTATCATTTGAAATTTAAGCACCCTGATTCTAGGCAGAAAACATTAGTACCACTGCTATTACTAAGATCCTAGATTATAAGTCATGCTTTTGAACAAACATTAGAACATGACTTTCTGTAGTATACACGATTGGAATGCTAGTTGCATTGTTATATCTGGATATAGGTAACAAGCCTAAAATTAAAATTGCCTGCAATAGCGGAAAAATGTTTGAAATCCAATCTTTATTTGGTAGACAGAAAAAAAAATTATTTTTTGAAAAGCAGGAATTGCTCTGATTAAACCAAGGGGACTAAATATTTCAACAGGAGCGAGTGCTCCATCCATTTGACTGTGGATATTATCAACTTCTTGTATACTAACATTCCCTTGTCTTAAACTTTCGTTAAATTACCCTGATTGTTGGGTAACATATCACAAACCAAAAATCTACAAATATACGTGTATATTTTTAATCACTGATATTTTATGTGCATTTAAATTTACAATGAATTTCAAACACTTTTGCGATTGCAGTGATGTCATTTAGTATATTCTCAAAAGTATTGTCTCAGAATTAGCCAGAATAGAGGCGTTGCTTCCACAACTTTAGTGGCCACGGAAATGTTTATTCCAGGTTTCTACAAAACTTTAGTCAATTTTTTCAGTTGCAATTGCAATTCATGCCAAATCACAAAAGGCTATGAAAGAAAACAGAGAAATATTGCCGGCTAAGCTCAGCTCTTCAGAAACATGGACTGCCTGTTGCACTTTCTTTTGCGCTTTCACTAATCCATTTCGTAATCGACTCTAGATAGCCAACGGCAGTTGTATTACAGATGACCAGATCCAAATTATGATTGCTTGACGTAAATACAAAGTCGGTTATTAACTTCTAAAACTTTTGTTCACACTCACAAATTTTTACGTTTGCTTTGTTCGACAGCTCTGTTATCTGACAAGGCTTTTAACAATGTAAGGCTATAATTTTTACTCTGAGTAGATATTTAGTTCAACTTTTACTTCAACGTGAGTAAACTTTTTGACGGGTACTTTTATAAAATTTCACCCAAGTACTTTTACCAAAATACAATTTTTTTCACTTTTCCTGCCTCTTGTTTATTAAGAGCTTCTAATAAGCTGGGAATACAGCTTATAAGTATATATATATATATATATATATATATATATATATATATATATATATATATATATATATATATATATATATATATATATATATATATATATATATATATATATATATATATATACATATATATATATATATAAATATATATATATATATAAATATATATATATATATATATAATATATATATATATATATATATATATATATATATATATATATATATATATATATATATATATATATATATATATATATATATATATATATATATATATATATATATATATATATATATATATATATATTTGGATTTTAAAGTTTATTTAATGTTAAACTAAATCCGAAAAACAAAAAGTACGAAAAATGGATTTATCGCAATAAGTTTATTTTAACTTAATTTATATTTATTAAACACCCACTGTATATAATACAAGGTAAATTATTATAAAGTTACATTTTTAAAAAGAATTATTATCTTGGAATATTTACTTTAAGAATATCTTTGAAAATTTTCCTTTGCTCCAATGAGTTCTAGAACTCAATTGCCTAGCTTAACCTTTGAAGATCTTTTTTAGAAATTATATATATATATATATATATATATATATATATATATATATATATATATATATATA